ACCTTCAAAAGGGGGAACATTTAAGTCTTAAAAAGATTAGGGGAAGGAGGTGGGGGGGGGAACCCATTGTTGACGAATCCTAATGTACTTCAGAGACTGGCTAATCCATAGATCTGCAGTGTTGCTGTGTGAGTGATTTATAAATAATATCCTAATGTATATGATCAGATTAACTAATCTCCTAAACAGGAGATTAGTCACAATAACGTGGCTGAAGATTAGATGACCAAACTATACATCAGAAAGTAGAGAAACTACGACGTTTCGGTCCGTCATGGACCATTATCACCTCTGGTAATCCTAATACATAGCCCTAATGTATATACACTGTCCTAATGTATAAATACACTGCCCAAATACATATACACTACCCTAATATTGCAACTGACAGGCCTTAGTGGAACTTGTAAAGAATAAATATGTTCATTCACTTGTAAAAGCGCACAAAAAAGTTCATGATCCAGTGCTCACTGAAGGAACTTTTTTCCACTCAAAAGTGGAGTGGGGATTTTTTTTTTTTTTTTGGCCCAGGCTGGAACAGTCCTCGTGGAGGGGTGGAGTGGGAAGGGAAGGGGTCACGGGAAAGGGGAGGGCTTTGTGGAATGAAGGGCGGGGTGTGGGAAGGCAATGGAGGTGTGGGAGAGGGAGGGGAGGGGGGAAGGAAAGGGGGGAGGCAAGGACAGTGGAGAGCAGGGAAAGGTAAGCATGGAAAAAAAGGAAGAGACGAGAGAGGAAAAAAGGAAGAGGTGGGGGGAAAAAAAAGGGGGAGGGGGAAGAGGAATAGGAAAGCAGGGTACGAAGGTGTACCCAAGACCCATAGAAGACGAAGGAGAGGGCGTGTAGCAGCAGGGGTCAAGTTCCTGAGAGTACCTTGCCTACCAGTGACTACAGAGCTAAGGAGGCAGGTCTACCTCTCCACGGCACTGCCCTAATGCCCTGCCCTGCCCATCCCACCCCCCCCTCCCCGTCTAGTACCCTCGTACAAACAGGCACAACAGGAACCACTGTGCCCACTTTCCTGTCTCTTTTCTCACCCTTTTCATTGCAGTTCACCGCCAGCGCCCAACACGGCGGACTAGCGAGACAGCCTCCAGAGACTATCCTCAGGCCTACACAACTCCGGCTGATGTGTATATGGCCTTAAAAGTCGATATAAATTAGTAAGCACAAAGCCCAGAGGTCACACAACACCTCCCCCACAAGGAGGCCGGCATTCCGACCCGGGCTCGCGACACCTTCGCCCATACACTAAGCTACTTTATGCAAATCAGAGTGGTGCTTCTCAGTTTGTTTTGGACGCGGCTCTTGTGGGTAGGGATGGCCCTGTGCGTACAGCTGGGCAAAGGTGTATATATATATTCAAATGCTAATTGAAAAAGAAAAACGGTAAATAAGCTCTGACCCTTAGGAGAGACGCAAGAAAAGGCAGAAAGGTCGCGGAAGGAGCATATTTAAACGGAAGAGAAAGGGCAGGACGATAAAATGTTTCATAGACATTATAAACAAGGTTCAGAAAAAGGGAGGTACTGCAAACAAGTTTCAGGAAGAGAAAGGGGGTTGATACACCTTTTTAATTGTCCATGTTTGAGTTCAACGAGTATCTCCCTTCAGCGATGGAGACATAAGTAGGTTCAGATATAGAGCACCCCCCAACCACACACACACACACACACAGCAGCCCATCTCTGACACACACTCACCCCACACACACAACTGCTCCTCTGACACACTTTAACCCCCACCCAAGCAGCTGCCCCTCTGCCACACACACACACACACACACACTTCCACACAGGGGCCTCGTAGCCTGGTGGATAGCGCGCAGGACTCGTAATTCTGTGGCGCGGGTTCGATTCCCGCACGAGGCAGAAACAAATGGGCAAAGTTTCTTTCACCCTAAGTGCCCCTGTTACCTAGCAGTAAATAGGTACCTGGGAGTTAGTCAGCTGTCACGGGCTGCTTCCTGGGGGGTGTGTGTGTGTGTGTGGTGTGGAAAAAAAAGAAAAAAAAAAAAAAAAAAAAAAAAAAAAGTAGTTAGTAAACAGTTGATTGACAGTTGAGAGGCGGGCCGAAAGAGCAAAGCTCAACCCCCGCAAAAACACAACTAGTAAACACACTAAACTGCCCCCTCACAAACACAAAAACTATCGTTCAAGAAAAAAAATAAAGAGGCTCGCGAAATTGACATAATGTCCCAAGTTCAAGTATGTTTATTGAGATAAGCAAGAAATACATCTCAAAGGGATAGAGTAGCTTAGGCTATTTCTACCCCCCCCCATAATGTCCCGTTCTCTGTCCGTGGGTCCTCTATAGTACGTTAGAATAAGGCACTTTAGTACGAGTTTCCTGACGTTGGAAGCGCTCGCGATAACAGGTTGAACACAAAAGACATCTTCAAGACAACAACCATTCGACGCCATACGGGCAAAACACGAACAAGCTGACGCTCTGTCTAGTCGTGTTAATTAAATAGGTCCTGATTGACCAGGAGTCATTGTCAACACACGAATCACAAACATCGCCCTAAAACTCCCCTTTTTCCTATCAAAAAACTTTTGAAACCGGAGAGCAGAGCAACGCTACACGCAGAATCCTTAGACTTCCATCACCCACATGCATAGGAAGACAATGTCACTCATTATCTTACGTATTTTGCTTATTTTAAGCTGGCGATTATAATGTTTACGGTCGAAAAACTTTCCTTTTGAGGAACGATATAATATTTTTTAGGATCTTGTATTTGTCACAACTTTTTTTTTTAGAGAGGAGTGTGTGTGTACACAAGTGGTACTTATGTCGACCGGGAGCAGCGAGCAGGGCAATGCGTATATACGCACCCGAGGCTACTTTACTATGCCAATAGGCCTTAATGGAGGAGTGGGTAACCCCACACCAGCTCCAGCAGGAGGCTGGTAGTACTGTGCTGACTCTCAGGTGTCCGCCCAGTACTCTTCCCCCCTCCCCTCCTGGTACCTCTCAATCCACTCCCTCCCCCCTCTTGGTACCTCTCAATCCCCCCCTCCCCCCCTTACCATCTAATTTACACTCCTACGTTCTATATCCTTATCTTGACCCCTTTCTGAGTGCTATATAGTCGTAATGGCCTGGCACTTTCCCTCTATAATTAATTCCTTCCCTACTACGCCCTATAGCCATAACGGCTTGTCGCTTTCTTCTCATACTTATTGCTTCGTTTGGTCCTACGCATGCGCCAAGAGCTAGGAGGCGTCTGCGCCAAGAGGCTAGGAGGTGTCTGCGCCTGTCCCAAGGGCTAGGAGGCGTCTGCGCCAAGAGGCTAGGAGGCGTCTGCGCCAAGAGCTAGGAGGCGTCTGCGCCAAGAGGCTAGGAGGCGTCTGCGCCAAGAGGCTAGGAGGCGTCTGCGCCAAGAGCAAGGAGGCGTCTGCGCCAAGAGCAAGGAGGCGTCTGCGCCAAGAGCTAGGAGGCATCTGCGCCAAGAGGCTAGGAGGCGTCTGCGCCAAGAGCTAGGAGGCTTCTGCGCCAAGAGGCTAGGTAACCTAGCGGGTCTCTGCGACACTAGCATGGTGGTTGTCGTGCGATCAACTAGACTTAATAGGCGTATTTGTCCCTCATACAATACACCAGCCGCCCAGCGTACGCTCTATGGGACTCTGGCGGCTAGTTTTGATAGGTGTATTCACGTGCATCTGCTAGGCTACGCGCGCGCTGATTGGCCCGTGGCGAGTGTCAGCTGGAGGTTCCTGGGCGCTGATTGGGCGGCGGAACGCGCCAAGTTGCGGGTGCCTACAATGTAGTATATATTTATAACCAAACGAAATAGAGCAACACTGATAATATTTTTCGGTATATTTACAATTTTAATTGATAGCGGTCAGTTCTCTTTTCATATTTTTCCAAAAACTACGCATTAATTTCCCACTAAACTCTCAAAACGACCAGAGGAGCGGACACATGTCGTGAACGTCCCTCTCATTGGCTGATCGATCGGGAGGGGTCGAGGCAATTCGCTCAGGAAAGGCGGTGGTGTTGATCTGCACTATCTACCTGACTGTAACAATCAAATTCACCTACAACTTTTAGCATTGCTGGCATGATACTCGATTGCAATCGTTGCACGAGGCTGCAACTAGGCTTTGGGAAAGGGATTTTCGAGGCAGTTCGCTTCAAACGGCGACATGTCACCTTTTCCCCCCGCAACCGCAATAGGTAAAAACTCCAGCCAAAGCGGTCACCCCACATCCCAACAGAGGACAGGACCCACCTGCGCACGCGCGTGTGCGTGTGTGTGTGTGGATTTTTGCCTCATAATGAGCACTGCCTCACATCAAGAGGGGGACAATAAACTCAAGAGCCGTGACAAAACATGCAGATAAGCTGTCAAATCCCAGCAGCTGCTGCTGGTAGCTCTCTTGCCATGTTTATCAGTCAACTTGTATCTAGTGTCAACACAACACAGAAGCACAGCGCCCAGTGACACGATCTACGATAACAGATTAACAGTCAAGAACAGTGTTAAAACACTAATCTGCCACAGCCAAATACAATTCTTTACCGTGATGCCCATTAGGAAATTCTGCATAGACTTGTGGAGTTTTTCGACAAAACAGCCAGTTCTATGATGCTAACTTGTTAGCAAAAAGATCAGAAACTCGTGGCTAGAACAGCAATTAAAGCATTCAACAACAGGCTGTTGTTAATGAATGCTTGAATGGGGGATATCAAGGGCACTTAATACCACACAATAGCTACCTACGAGCAAGGAAAACAAAAGGTATACAAATAAATAATGAATATGAAAACCTTAATATCCTTTCTTTTACTCCACACTTCTGGAAAAAAACTTACAATGTCCTTTAGAGAACATTGTAAGTTTTCTACAATGTTCTGAGGGACGTCGACCAGGAGGCCTGGTCGACAACCGGACCGCGGGGACGCTAAGCCCCGGAAGAACCTCAAGGTAACCTCAAAGTAAAATTGATTAAAAAGAAGAATAAATCTTTAAAAATGAATCTGGCGCTTACCTGTAACAGCGAGAGCGATGAAGGTATTGGCATGCTTTCTGACAATGGGTTCGCTCCCTACGCCAGGAACCAGCGGTAGAAGATGATCTACGAAGTCGCAAGCCGTAATGGGAGCCAAGTCCCACCCAAGTTTCGACACCAACAGAAGTTCCCAACTCTGAAAATAACCAAGAAAAAAAAAAACGTTAGATAACAGCACTCAATGAAGGCACTCAAAATACTTACATAAAACAGGAGGCATAATTCCAGTAGGTTTTCGTAGGGGTGAAATGGGAAGAAGGGGTGAAAGACCACGCCCATTTCCAATTATCCATCAAAAAACCATATAGCCTGAACAATCAAAACATAAGAGGAAAGGGGGGAATGGGGGGGTCACTATTACTTTTCACACTCTGGCCACAGTGAAAGATAAAAGGTTGCCTGGGGTAGGCCTAAGGCTTTCTGGCACACAAGAATGGCAACGAAGGCGGCCTGGGTCTGCCATTCTTGCCCTACGGTCGGACCGCCTGCGCAGTGCCCTCTCTCCCACCATCAACCTGTGACGGGGTCATCATTATGTGTAGCGCAGGTACCAATTTGGCCGTTTAGGAAAATAAAAGACTAAAGGGGAACCGAGAAAATAAAAAAAAAATGATGTCAAGAAAGGCTTTAAAGGATCCAAGAGATGTACTCGAAGGCCACCTGACAGCTGGGTTGACAGCGCGTTGGATTCGTAGTCCTGAGGTTCCGGGTTCGATCCCCGGTGGAGGCGGAGACAAATAGGCAAAATGTTTCTTTCACCCTGATGCCCCTGATACCTAGCAGTAAATAGGTACCTGGGAGTTAGACAGCTGCTACGGGCTGCTTCCTGGGGGTGTGTAACAAAAAGGAGGCCTGGTCGAGGACCGGGCCGCGGGGACGCTAAGCCCTGAAATCTTCTCAAGATAACCTCAAGAGAAGTGAAAAAGCTGCATCGTGTTAGTTTGTGAGAGGAATTTAAGAGTTTTAAATTAAGATCTTAATTTTTTAAGATCTAATTTAATTAAAAGATCTTAAGATCTTTTAATTTAAGATCAACCAGGTATCAACCAGCATGATGGAGGGAAGGGAACAGATGACGGAATAGCAGTAGAGAGCGTTAGAGAGCAGTAGAGCGTTAGAGAGCGTTAGAGAGCTGTAGAGAGCGTTAGAGAGCAGTAGAGAGCGTTAGAGAGCAGTAGAGAGCGTTAGAGAGCAGTAGAGCGTTAGAGAGCGTTAGAGAGCTGTAGAGAGCGTTAGAGAGCTGTAGAGAGCGTTAGAGAGCAGTAGAGCGTTAGAGAGCGTTTGAGAGCGTTAGAGAGCAGTAGAGAGCGTTAGAGAGCAGTAGAGAGCGTTAGAGAGCGTTAGAGAGCAGTAGAGAGCGTTAGAGAGCGTTAGAGAGCAGTAGAGAGCAGTAGAGAGCGTTAGAGAGCGTTAGAGAGCGTTAGAGAGCAGTAGAGAGCAGTAGAGAGCGTTAGAGAGCTGTAGAGAGCGTTAGAGAGCAGTAGAGAGCAGTAGAGAGCGGTAGAGAGCGTTAGAGAGCGTTAGAGAGCGTTAGCGAGCAGTAGAGAGCGTTAGAGAGCGTTAGAGAGCAGTAGAGAGCGTTAGCGAGCAGTAGAGAGCGTTAGAGAGCAGTAGAGAGCGTTAGAGAGCGTTAGAGAGCAGTAGAGAGCGTTAGAGAGCGTTAGAGATCTGTAGAGAGCGTTAGCGAGCAGTAGAGAGTGTTAGAGAGCTGTAGAGAGCGTTAGAGAGCGTTAGAGAGCTGTAGAGAGCGTTAGAGAGCAGTAGAGAGCGTTAAGAGCATTAGTGGGAGGCTCGCTCATCAAGCGAGCTTCCCACACACTTCTAACGACTCACTTTACTAGTCTAGTTATTATTCTCCAGCTTCAACCCCCAGCAGATAACTTAGCAGTTAAACTTTATCATTATGACTTTTTGATGAGCTAGGGGTAGCTACGGTGGAAAGGTCTTAGCTATTAACTCGGTGTATCTGGCAGATGTTCCCGGCATCCGCAAAATGGCGAGATGGTCAGGCTAGGCTAATTAGCCAGCGATACTTGTTAAGAGAATACACACACACACTCTCGTTGGCTCTTTGGCGGGAGCCAGAGCCAGAGCTCAACCCCCTGCAAGCACAACTAGGTGAGTACACCTTGGGGGGTGGGGCCGAGGTAGAAATAAATTGTAAGTTTCTTTCACCCTGATTCACCTGGCAATAAATAGGTACCTGGGAGTTAGACAGCTGCTGCGGGTTAGTTCGTGTGTGTGTGTGTGTGTTAGAAATATATGTAGTGAACATAGATGAAAGATTTGGTTAGAAAGGCGAGGTTTGCCCCCCCCCCACACACACACACACACACCACCTGTTGATTGGCGGTTGAGAGGCGGGACCAAAGAGCCAGAGCTCAACCCCCGTAAGCACAATTAGGTGAACACACACACACACAACACACAACACACACACACACCGTGGTTCAAGCTGCTGAACCACACAACACACTTCCTTAAAGTGTAATCTAAGGCCCTAGACACAAAATGCTCAAGTCAGTATATCTCTCCAAGTCTCAACAACTGTGTCAGAATGAGCCAATTGGCAACGTATAAACTATAAACTGGCTTCCTGGCTATAAGGTCACTCGACCGTTCTACAGAGGTCAGGTCAGGTCACGCCAGAGATGCCGACATGTGTTTTTCCTGAAAGATTTGACTACAATCTCATTAACGAACAGACCGAAAACGTGTAGTTTTGTGGATAGTGTCTTATTTGATGGTGATGTTGGTTGTGGTTCTGGAGGAGCTGTCAAGAACTGCCTGAGAAGCCTGCTTGATGGGGTTCTGGGAGTTGGTTCTACTCCCTGACTTGTGAGAGTTTGGTCCACCAGAAGGCTGTTGCTTGGAGCGAATCATGTAAGCCTTTCAGGGGCGAGGGTTCACCTACACATTCCAGGGGGCGAGGGTTCACCTACATCTTCCAGGGACAAGGGTTCACCTACACCTTCCAGGGACAAGGGTTCACCTACACCGACTAAGACATCCAAAACGTATCAATAATGAATTCATTTCTATAAACGTCACATTAAGTCTCTGTAATTTCACCAAAGCGCTCATTTGGTTTATAAAATCACGAGTCTAAGTCGTTCAAGACGATCCGAACAAAGCCAAGCCCTGATTTAAAGGCAAATGACCACGGGGTGACCTCTGGAGGAGGGATTAAAGAGGTCATGTCACTCGCCTCGACCTGTGTCGAGGTCAGACCCATTTATCTCCACACTTAACACGTGATCCTGTGAGGCTAACGACCCCTCGAGGGAATTGGGACCCCCCGAGAAGATTAGGTCATGTGTCTTAAATCTGAGATCTAAGGTCATGTCTGGAGCCAGTAGGAGTAGAATTACAAGTTGGCCTTCTCAACTAAACGGTCAACTTGATACAGTGGATCAAGTTGAAAGGGATAGACGAACACGCCATCTATCAGATTCCACGCATCGGGAAGTTTCGGAGGGCAAACTAAAATGGAATTTGAAAGCTGCATTTGGTCAAGATAGGGATGGCAAAATTGAAAGTACACACAGAAACCACAATAGCGTGATATATCAGATGAACACCACGGCCCTTGTGGATTTGTTCTTAAAGTTGAAGGTGTTTTGGGGTCCAAGAGACTCGTGGAGTTTGGGTTGGACTTGTGGGCTGTCCTATGAGGCTGGGTTGGGAGTTAACCCGATAGGGTGGTTGACTAATAACCCATGGGGTGTGGGCGGCACTGTGGGCTGACCCTTGCGGTGTGGGCGGTGGTTGTCGATTGACCCAAGCGGTGTGGGTGGAACTGTCGATTGACCCAAGCGGTGTGGGTGGAACTGTGGACTGACCCATGTGGGTCAACTCTGCCTTATAAGCACTCCCCTTACTGAGACGGCTAAACACCATCACGCAGCAACCCAAGAGTAGGCTCCGCTCGTCACACCAATGGGGGAAGAGTTCAGAAGGGTTAAATTAGCATAATCAAAGCAGAAACAGCTTGTTTGGGGTCGAGGTTTCTGCCGACAGCTGTGAGGCCCTTCAGTCTCCTGCAGCGACCTGTCTTAAACTTCCACTTCTTGCAGAACACTCATCCTCTCCCCTGGCTCCTTAGCCCCTGTCCCCTACCCCCTTGTGGTAACAGCTGTTGCTCCTGGACACGCCCAAGGTGTGAAAGAGAGAGACTGAGCCCCTCACAGCGTTCAGTTTACCCTACAAACATGTCCGCTTCTGCTTCACCGCTTACCACACACATACAGCCCGGGACAGGGTTATGGAATGCAAACATGGAGATGGTGAGTGACCTGGAATAAGGGGCTCTAAGGGACCAAAGTGGACCTTCTCAACCCCTCCCCTTGTCCCTCGCTCCGGGCGGTGGGCCCGCCAGACTCCTCCTCATCCCCCTTGTGAGGGGAACCATAAATGCATGTGAACAAAATTTGTTCTGTAGTGGAGAGAGGGAGGGAGGGGGGGGGGGGGGGGTGGAGGGGACAAGCGGAAGACCCGGGTTGTATGATCGGTGGGAGACAATGGACCAGGCACCCACACTTACTCTTACGCAAAGGTCCATGGCCGGAAGAGCAAATGTTACGAGGAGGTGCGTTTGTGTGGTGGACAGAGCCAACCTATTCACTGGAATAATGGCCGCTGGTCCCCTTCTAAAGTGGCCTGCGACGTGGGCTTACAGGAAATAAGGGGAATGCCAGCACATACACATTTATTATATTTTCGGGGGCATGTGTTTGTGCGTTTTTATAAAGGCACAAAGTGGCATACGCATGAGTGACCCTTAAGATAACGAATTGACAAAAAAGCAACTCCCAGGGTGAAGCAAGAAGCAAGCGTGTCCTTGTAAGGCACCCCCCCCCCCGCCCGCCACGCCCCTTAATGGACAAACAAGAACCTCCAAGATGCGCACGCCTATAACCAATATATAGATACATATATACCCCTATTCTCACAAGACTGTAATGGTTAATGGCTAATACTGAAAGCATTTAGCATTTAGACGCTCTTATTGGTCGCAATTTAAGCGACGAAAACAGTGTTATTAAGCCCTGCTCCTTCAATTGGCGCCATGTCAAGCGAGCGTCTTGCAAGATCTTCCTGCCAGCGTTCCGGAACGACCCACGAGACGTGGAGTGG